CCTAATAGTAGGGAAGAAAGGGAATATACAGTCCACTAAGCACATGACTGACGTCAAGACCTGGTCCATTCCTAAAGGACCCGTAATCTTAGTCGTCAATCCTTTATTTCGAGCAAGATTCTGAGTTGAACTTCTTATTCTGGTCTGTGGTCTCGCCCACCTCGTTGTTCCCGAACCCAACGAGATGTGATATTGAATAGGAAGTAGGTAATTATTAATCACTACCTGAAATGAAGAACGCACCCCACTTTTCCCCCTAGCATACATTCGAGCACGCCTCCCACGTACGTATTATAAATACCTACGCAGGCGGCTACCATCGCATGACATCAAAGTCGTTTCACAACTGTTAGATTTATCTTTAAACTGTGGTAATAGTAACTCAGTACCATCTAGTAATGTGAGAAAATTTGTCTCTACCAATAAATGTTAGAGCCAAGAAGTTCTACAACGTTAAAAAGAGACGCCCACTGTGATAGCCAGATTACAATAAAATCTTCCCTACTATATAATGTGTTATTACTTAACAATATCCTTTTGGGCTCTGCTGCAATCGGGTAAATATATTCCAATAGTTGACATCAAAAAAGGATACGCTCCAATAAAACAAAAGTTGATGCTAAGACAATCATGTATTAAGTAATAAATAGTCAAAAATTAACAAAAAGAAACACTGAAAACAGGTACATTTTTACCAATCTCAGAATTTAAGACTTGCAACTCTCTTTAAATCCTTAAACGCTACGAACACTTAACAAGTTACTTGCATGCACTACTTACGAATTACACACCTGAGTCCGAGCACGGCGTAAGCCAAACTTCTAAGTGAATGACTAGGTTGCAGAAGTGATTCTTTCAATATAAGGTTTTCGCCATCCTGTGTCTTTGTACATTACGGTAAACTTTGGGTATGGTCAAGAATGTTAAATGTTAGTTTTGAACGCAAAATAAATGTTATCGTTGACCTGAATTTTGATACCTTGTATGTATTAAAATGTCAAATTATTTAATAGCCAACGAACCAACCAGCAATTAACGTCTGACCCATAGCTACTATACATCCAGTAAATTTACTTCTATTATAAGCAGTGGCGTAGCAAAGGGGGGACGGCGGGGGCGGGCCGCACCGGGTGTCACCTTTTTTGGGGTGACAACAATTACTCTTGGAGATACCAACCAAGACTGCAGACACTTAAAAGCCGCTAATGTTACGGTTACTGATTGGGTGTCTCTAGATTTTTAAAGTTTATTGTTGAATGGGATTTTACAGAATCTCTTCCAAATCTTATGATTGCACTGAAATTGTTCATGACGGTTTCCGTGTCCGTAGCTTCATGTGAGAGGAGTTTCAGAAAATTAAAATTAATAAAAAAACTATTTGCGGGCAACAATGACCCAATCGCGGCTTAGCAATCTTGGTATATTGGCCATCGAACACGAGGCAATACAAAAAATAAATTTCGATGTAGTTATTGCTGAGTTTGCAGCTGTAAAAGTTAGAAAGAAGAAATTTTAATTGTATAACAATTCCTTTTCCGTCTTAGTTATTATTGTGTTTTGTTATTTCTTCAATATTATAAATAATAAATGATCCATTTATCATATAAAATTTATTGCTTTTAACTTTCGATGGGGTGACACCACTAACTTTCGCACCGGGTGCCACCCAAGGTAGCTACGCCACTGATTATAAGCATTATTAACATCAGAACTAGATAACAAATTTGAGTTTATTCTTTAATCGAATACAAAAGGCTAGAAAATAGTATTTTAAAACTGTTCTTGTTCATCAAAAGCATTTCTTAAACGAGATTAAGTAACAAAGTTACCTACGAGACTGGAGATCGATATTTACTGGATACGATGAATATAAAATTGTAAATAGATTTTCAGAAACCATTTCCAATTTTTTTTATCTGCTACAGAATACCACCGGAATAATTTTCGTCAAATAGTAAAACTACAAAGCAGAGATCAAATTAGAACATGGCAATATTATTTGCTTATTTTTGATAGATACAAATAGTAAAGTTGTACGTACATAGTTGTATGTTTACCGTTAGCCTCTAATCTATAGTACTGTTCTATTAAAAAAAAAACTAAGGAAAGTTAAAATTATTAGCACAACCTGCAATTGCTGTCATAGCATCTTAAATTAAAATATCACAATACAAAAGTAAAATTAGCCATAAAGTAGTAAGCTTGCATTTGTACTATTCTGCTAGTAATAGTCCAATTATTTGTATATTAAACTAATAAACTTAAAACAATTTGTATCCAGTTTTCTTATGTGAAAAGTCATTCTAAACAATATTAAATCGTACGATTAGCTTTATATTCGTCCTTGAAGACTACTTTAGTTTGATGCGGTATCCAATATAACACCCATCCTCTTTGTACACCATCTAAACTAACACTTCATTAAATAACTGATACCCGGCGTATGCTACTCTACGCTAAACAAGTGGCAATATTACAAAATTTGTACAACCGACTTCAATATAAATAAAATGAGCACATCATCAATGTAGTCGAAGTCAATTAAAGAAAAACTACTGGTAAGATCTTGATCAAAATTATATGTGACCACATGAGAAGCATCAGCTTTCAAATGAAAAAAATCATCAAAATTGGTTCACCTAGAAAAAAGTTTTTAGGTAACAGACATAAAAAACATACAGTCGAAATGAGTACCTCCACCTTTTTTTGTCGGTTAAAAAAGAAATACATTTTGTTTATTTGTTAGAAAAAACACGAAATTTTGTTTATTTATTAACTATTTTATATAGTACCTAATGCATTGTTTTAGTGGTCTGAAACTATCTTCGCATTATTTACCTTTCTAAAGAAACTGGTTCGGTTGGATGGTTTCAAAGTCTGTAAGGGACATAGGTAGAAATATTTTTTTTTGTTTTATATAGATAGATTAAGTTGTAGTTACCAATAAGATCCACCATATACAAATAGCATTTTTGTCTTTTACAATATGATCAAAATTTACACATTCTCACACACATTTTACGACATCATATCATATAAAGTAGATATATAATATACATATATATATATATAGTTTTACATTGTGTAAATATTTTTTTACGATAAAACAAAAAGTATTAAATCCGTGTAATATCAGACATCAGACAGTAGAGCAGCTATAGACAACTCTCCACGGCTGATCGACTCTTTCTTCTTTTTTGTATTTAGACGAAACTGGGCCATTTTTTTAAAGAGGCTCTGATACATTTAAAACTAAATAGTATTTTAATATATATTGGGTTTGGGTCACGTATCAAATTTACATAATTTTAAGAAACAAATTACAAGAAAGTGAATAGGTTAGTGGTAACAATTTTTTTTAATCTCCAGAAACAAGTAACTTCATGGTAACATTTTATTTTGCACAAAGATTAAAATCCAATTTAATAGAACAGTACTAGTGGTATATATAACCTGATAGTATCAACAGTCACATACATTTTGAACAACATTTTAGCTCATGTTTACTTTTACATTCCATGTATCAAGCGTTAAATAATTGCTCCACAAATTTTAAGCCTGAGTTTAAAATCTCTACTTTCAGATTCAACAAATAAGAACATAACATTGGTTTTTGATCTGAAACTTACAATTTCTTTAAAAATTAAGCATTTATAACATTTAATACTAAAATTAAAAAAAAAAACATAAACTCATTGCATTAAAAACAGGTGCGAATCAAGTATCTTTAATTGTTTTATGTTAATGTTATCCAATTTATCAATATAAAAAAAATTACTAAACTTTATAGAAAACATTTTAAGTTGAGTACACTAAACCTAAAGAAAGACGTAATAAACCGAATTTAGTATCATTTTTTAGTGATGTAATAAAATATGTGGGTTTGATTTTCCTAAACTAAACAGTATGAATAATCAAATTTTTCTACATAGTAAAAATAATATCCCAAAACAAAACATATTTTATTTGGTAAAATATTAAAAGCAAATATTTGGTTTAAAGCACAATCATTTCGAAACTTCACATAGTAAAATAAATATAACTTGTTTCAAAAAACTTGGACAAAACATTTATTGTATTGTTTTAATAAACACGTTTTCCAAGCGATTATGAATTCTATACTTCCATTTAGATGATTTGTTGAGTGTTTTACAATTTTTTTATGTGCCACTCTTGACTGATATTATGTCAACACGTCATTAACGGATTTATGTTAACTTCTATCCTTCCGTATTTTCTAAGTTTCTTTGTAAAATTAAACAATCACCTGATTTTTTCATCGAATGTTTGTCACATATTTTTATATTAATGGCACTTTGTCAAATAATACATTACATAATATGTACACAAAGTAAATGGACTAAATTAATTAATTCTATAGACAAGTTTTATTGTTTTAATAACGATATCAATATTTAATTCGCAACCATCCGCTTATTTAAATACAATGATGTATCTTACCTGGATTGATTGAATTGACTTAGCGGTCAGCCGCCGTAGAGTCTACATCACCTGAAGATGCCTCGTGTAGAGGCGAAACACGTGTCGTATTATCGTCGATGGTGTGTCTTTCCTGGAATAGTGATGTTGGGAGTATTGGTGCTGGGATTAGTGGTGACATGATTAGTGCACGCAGTTGAGGGTGGGCGGGAGGTGCTCTTCAATCCAGGTAAGACACATCATTGTATTTAAATAAGCGGATGGTTGCGAATTAAATATTGATATCTTTATTATAATGAATTTCCGCAAAGTAAAGCCTGATTCTATCAATTATTTTATTGTTTTGTTTGTTTTAATTGTTTCTTAGTTAACAAAAAATATATATAAATAACATTCCTTTTCAGGCACAACTATGATTTAAAAGATGGCCCGGTGCTGTTATTTCTCTTATTAATATTAGGACCAAAAGTAACTGTCTTGGGAACAGTACCAAAACAAAAAAAAAACAGTTAAACATATAGAGGTTGTAAACTCAGGCCGAGAGTCGCCAGTTAGGTAGTTTACGAACCGCCTTTCTTCCTACCACGTGGCCCACTAAACGACACGCCGCGTAGAGATCGCATTGCCATTGCTCTGTTGAAATGCCTGTGTGTTTTATGCTCTTCCACATCGTTACCGCTGTCCACGGACGAAAGTATCACGAGTAGCACTCCCATGACCTGTAGAATTAGAATTGGTTATATTTTATTGAAAAATTTATTTAAAGTTGTGTAAGTGTATATCCACATATAATGCCGTGTGTTGGTGACGTAAGACAATTCACTATCATCTCATGGGCTGCGGTTCATTAAATGATAGTGAAATGTGATGATACCAAGATGATGCTTCACCTTCTTGACAACAACACGCCAACACGTTCGAACCCCACCGGCCTACCTTAACCTTCTTTTATGTTTTAAATTTTTTCTTTTATGTTATAAACTTTTCCTCATTAATTATGTAAATAATTTTAAATCTTATAAAATTGTAAAATCGGTTGAAGAGGCATCTCCAATACGAGTATGGAAATTACTCTCTGGGGCATCTCAAAAACATGTATATTTAATTTTTGATAAATAAAAGTATTTATAGAAGAGGAAGATTCACCTATATACCTGGGGAACTCCCCTTCAAGAAAAGAGCTTAAGCTCCTTTCTAAAGGGCCGGCGTAACGCACCTGCAATTCCCCTGGTGTTAAGAGCGGTTGATCATGGGCGGCGGTAGAACTCACTTGAACATCAGGTGGAGCAGCCACATGGTGAGACGTTTGCCGCCTCTTCTATAACGAACAAAAAACACCAAAAAACATATATTATTATTATTTATTATTATTACTCTTAATGTGTGTTTGTATACTCTTATTTTTTGTATTGTACAAATGAATGAATACAAAGCGACTGGTATAATACGAATATGTCTGCGTTGCTTGTTTACCTATGAAATTTTTAATTCTAAGTGCCGATTTACCACGTACTCTACGGTGAAGGAAAACATCGTGAGGAAACCTGCATGTCTTAGAAATTAAACAAAAGATCGAAGTTTTCCTAATCCTTAAACCTTCTCAGAAATGAGAAGAGACCTGTGCCCAGGAGTGGGACGTAGTAGACTGTAACTTTAACTCAAATATGCTTCGAGGCCAAGCCCTACTTACGCTCAATACTACTTATGCAGCGCATCTTTTGATTGAAACTTTGCAGATTTAAAATGCTAATAAAAATAAATTACTCTATGTGGTGTTGTTCAAAATAACATGTGTTAGATTATTAAGTATAAGTATTTCTTGTTATGTCAAGTTTTTAAACGATTAATTGTCATTGGGATGTTCTTTTCTCATGTACATTATGCTATTTCTTGCATAAAAATAGTTGAGACTCATTTCTGATTCTCAACGTTTAAGAATTCTTAAAATAACTTCTTTACTAATAATAAACGTTTTAAAATTAATTATACTCAGTAAGAAAGTACTTATTTCAAATATTATTGTAACTAGGAAATTAGCTAGCCAATATGGCGGCATTAGACTGAATTAAATGACGAAGAATTATTTGTTAAAATTGAATAAATAATTAAAAAGACAATGACCTATTTATTTTACATATGGAAACAGAAATTAAAAAGCTTGCGAGAATAAAATATTTGTATTCAACATAGATTGTTACCGTCATCGTTACAGCCTATTAAAGTCCACAGCTGAACATAGGTCCCCCCCCCCCCCATATATTACCACATAGGTGTGATATTTGCAATAGTTGCCACCTTTAGCAAGCGCGTTAGCAACCAGTTTATTTTTTATTTTTAGTCGTTATTAGTAAGACGCTCCTGCCTCTCTTCTGATTTGTTTCCATTTGACACCTTTTACGACACCCACGGGATGATATGGAGTAGTGGACATTCTTACACCGCCATTACACGTACAATATAGTTCGTTACATAATAATTATTGTAAGTAGTGTCTCAAACTCTTAAAATAAACAAAATGTCTAGAATTCAATAACTTTGAATGAAATTAGAAAATGAAAACTAAAAGTTAACTCATTAAAATAATTTAAAAATCCGACCCAATATGGAAATTAAGTATAACAAATGTTTAATACTCGTAATTTGATTCGCTGTGTAGTGGCGGTGTGAGAGCACGCAAACATTCAGTAGTTGTCGTAAAAGACGACGGAGGAAATCGAAACAGGAGATGGTTAAGCAGCATATGCCTGATAACGACTCAAAAATAATTTACAGAAACTGCGGTTGCCAATCCACCTACCAATCGTGGCAGCTTTGGCAAATATTCTAGTAGGCTAATGTAACTATGGACTTCTGATAGGTTGTAATAAATTAAACAGTTTTTAGTACAGTGGACCCCCGGTAATCCAGCCCCTATCTAATCCGGCACCCCCTGTAATCCGACATGGTCTAGCGGTTCTCTGCTTTAAAATAAAAAATAAAATGAAAAGCACAAAATGATACACAAAAGTTGCCGAAATAAATCCGAAAATTAAATGAGGTGCAATGAAGATAATTAAATAAAAAGGAGTCACTCGATATTCATAAGTAATCTAACAAAAATGTTAAGATAAGTATTTAGATTTCTTGAAAAAAGGTTCTGACTTGGTCCGGGATATCAAATTTCAAAATCCCCGCATTTTCCTCACATAATACCAATGTCCAAAAAATCGCCAACCAACTTAAAATTTCACATGTTGGCAACGCTGAACATGATGTGTAAATTGCACAGCACGTGGCAACACGAGTCGGTCAGATGGCGGCAGCGTGTGTGTGAAAGGAAAGGGTAGAGTGAGCCGTGAGAGAAAGTGCGAGTAGCGTAAGTGTAGTACAGTAATACCCAATGCATTATTTCGTACCGAGCTAGATAAGAGTTCGGCGTCCGCGCGTATATTAAACCTGTAGTCAGCTGATTTCCAGTTCCACTGCCGGTTTTATATTTAAGTATTATCATGATTTTTTTAATGAAATTATCGATTCATTTAGCTGTAATAACATAATGGAGTTGGAATAAAGCCAATAAAACGTTATGAAAAGATGATTTTTTTTTCATCGGGATCTATTTTCTTTCTGAGCCATCATCAAAGGTATCGTTAGTACTATCTTAGTTTAGTTAGTCTGTCTTAGTTATCGGGAGCGTTTCACAAACACTCGGTATTTCGAAACGAAAGTCGAAACCACCAGTATTAGTAAAAATCCACTAAGTTGGCAACATTAGAAAACACTGGCATCCGTCCGTTAATATTCGGATACCTACCGTATTTTGTAACATGTAATGTGCGAGGTTTCATATGGGGTATGTTCCGAAACGTTTTCAGTATACTGCCGAATACAAATGACGTCATCAATTGACACTATATTGTACTGACGTGCCGCTGATATATTGTGTCGGATATCCGGCCATAATAAAACAATTTTTAATTGTGTGTGCGCTGAATGAAGCATGCCAAAATTTGTTTCTATTTATTCAAATACAAAAAATTATAGAATAATTGTTGGTATCTCCATTAGGAGGATATAATGATTTTTGGAGCATGACTAAATGATCGCCAACACATTTCCAATATGGCGCAAATGTATGACGTCATATACTGTCATAAGTTTTAGAACGAATCATCAGTACAGCGTCGATTCATGACGTCATTTGCATTGGACAGTACACTGGGTTCTATTTTAAAACATACCCATGATTTCGTACAACGAATTCTAGAATGCTGTGTGTAAGGCACGTACGATGCTCACAAATCGCCTGTTTAATAAAAAAAGATGGAAGTAAAAAACCGTGGATTTTGAGTTTATCTGATAAAACGCATTAATAGATATTACGTAAAGAATAGGCTAAGTGCGACAGCGGCGCGATACCGAATCTGATAAAACGCATTAATATTACGTAAAGAATAGGCTAAGTTCGACAGCGGCGCGATTCCGAATGATGTGAGCGAGATGCATAGTCATAGCTCTCTTTTCAATCAACAAAATCGACAAATCGATCTCGATTCTCAAATGTAGCGTGATTCAGGGATCCACCGGCAGTGATTGAAGGAGGAAGTGCGGTCGTTTTGCGTATCACAGATTAATTGTGCAATAATTCTGTTTTGTTTTAAAAGGTGACTATTATAAACTTTACGTTATTTAATACAAAAAAGCATGATGTTATTGTTACTTCGCTTTATTTGAAAACAAATTAAAAAATATTGTGATAATTTACAGTTAATTCTGTTTTATTTTAAAATTACTTGGTAGACCTTAATACTAAAGTCAAATAATTCAGCTTTGTATTAAAAATTATGCCATGGTTACTGGAGCAACCGACTAATGATCAGTTTATTATAAAAATGATGAAGTCTATCAGTACCATTGTGATTTACTTGCTTTTTTATTTTTAGTGATACAACTTGATGTAATTGTTTAAAGTTAATTCTTTTTTTTTCTTGTAAATGGCACGTCGAAAGTAATAATTTTAACCATGTTCAATATTTTTATATGCCTTTAAGAATGAACTGCTGGAGGGCTATGAAAATCCTAGGCTTGATTCCTCAAGCCAGGAATGAAACATATAACACCGATCGAGAAAACTGTGACGAGGTAAATACTTTATTTAACTTATTAATACTTTTACGCCTGCTGACCATCGTAGCATTTTCATTTCATTCGTGTGCAACTTTTTTTCGTGACTCTTCTTGGCCGCCCAGCATTCCGCACCATATAACATGGCAGGTCTTACGGCCGTTTTGTAAACCTTCCCTTTCAGTTGTATTGGCATCCTGCTATCGCAAAGTATTCCTGAAAGGATTCTCCACCTTAACCATGCTGCATTAATTCTGTGAGTTACGTCTGCGTCGATATTGACGTCCGCCGTTATCACTGAACCGAGGTATTTGAATTTGCTGACGCAGGGCAGTGGCTGACCGTCGATGGAGATATTTATGTTGGGCGCATATTGTTCACTGAAGCTGCACCTCAGAAACTCAGTCTTGCGCCGGCTGATACGGAGGCCATTGTTCTCGAGAACCTGTCTCCATTGCTTGAGTATGGCTTGTAGTTGAATCGCACATTTGTCGATGAGCACAATGTCGTCCGCATACAGCATGCACCATGGGAGGGGGGACTGGATGTCTTTAGTTAGATAGTCCATAGATAGATTAAATAGGAATGGACTTAGTGCTGATCCCTGATGCACTCC